TTTCTTGACTTCTTCCAACTTACAAGCCACACATATACATACTACTACAATGACTCTTAGATCTCTGAATAAAAACTCATGAATTTCCTAACAATATTCATGCATCTAACATAATGATACATTTGACTCCTCAAACAACTAAATGATCTTCTCAATTCTTAAGGTAATTAATCAAGTTTACTTTCAACAAATCTTCCTTTTGGGGTATTTCCCCCTGAATTCTCCTAATTTTTTCGAGTCAACCACAAATATTTTCAGGTTTCATTTCTTTCTAGTGTTTAATTTCGTTGTTTTTGTGTATTTTCTGCTGTCCAACTTCCAGCATTCTTCAAAAAGTTTTCCCTCCAAAGCGGTGTGTTTTGGGCATTCGCTTGTGCTTTTAAGGGTTTTGGATAATGTCGTTCATCATTTTCCATTAATATGTTGGGAATTTAACACCTAAACCCCTAATGCAACAGAAACGCAGTATAGAAAAAGTACACCAAGATTTAATGAGGTTCGGCAACTTCCTACGTCCTCGGGAGCCACACAGTAAATTTCTTATTAATCAAACAAGAAATTACAATTTAGGAGCAGATCTCAAAACTGAGATTTCTCAAATAAACACTGTAGCTACAGTGTTAATAATCAAAGGGTATGAACCCTTTCAATTTCTCTCACTTGAGAATAAATAACCCCACAATTAAAACCCCTCTTTTCAATTCTCTATTTCTCTCTCTTTTTAATCCACTTCTTAATCTCCCCTCAAAAATCAATTTGAGAGCTGGAGATGAATGAAATCACTGCTGTGATTTAATTGGGAAACGCGACTGCGTTTTGGGGCTTCGCCGCCAGAGAGAAATCGGGGGAAGGCTCAGCATCTTCAAAACCCTAGCCTGGGGAGGGGGTTTTATAGGGAGAGGGGATGGGCTGGCGACAGCCTGTCGCCAGCGACCGCTTCGACGCCAACTTCGAGCCGAACGCAGAGTTGAGAGGGGGGGGTTCGAACGCAGAGGTTGAACGAACGCAGAGGTCGGCATCGCCCAAAAAAACGCCGAGGTCGGATTCGCACGCAGAGTTCGGGGGTGGTTGCGTTCGTCGACTTCGCCTGCGTCATCTCCGCCATTCTCGAGCTCGTCGGAGCTCGTCGGAGCTCCTCCGCCGTCGGAGGTTTGTTTCCACCCCCAATTCTAACATAATATCCATAGAATCTTGATAGATGATAAACTGGGATTTAATTTTGTACGTTGGTCTGTTTTCATTATATTTATAGAAACATTATTTGTATTAGAAAGTTTATGTCGAGAGCATAACCCAATGTAATCTCTTGCATCTTAAGAGACTTCCTATTGTGTTTCATGGACAGCTGAGGGTATGGCATCAGGGGAGGCCCTGGTGGTCAGCAAGAGGCGCAGCGCCAGGTGTTACGGGAAGGAGCGTCCGTGTTATGCTCTGAACAAGAAGATTGGGAAGGGCGAGAAGGATACGGTTGAGGAGAATGGAGCGTCGATTAATAGCATGTTTGATGCAAATGAGTGCAAAGTTTTCTGTAGATTCGGAGCATTCGAACAACAGGGTTCATGGCGAAGCACCTGCAAAAAGCCTATCTGTCTATCATATTTGTCTTGCCGTTGAATAGCGGAATATCGAACTTCGGACCCGAAGAAGTCATCATTCTCTAACCACGATCAAAATTTAAATCAGTCAATGTAGAGATTGAATTTGATAAAACCGACTCTAAAAATAAACTTAGCATGTCGAAAAACCCTAGGGACGACTCCTGGATCACCAAAATCCGCATCGATCAAAAGACAAATCAATCGAACCGTTGGATTTGTGTGAACAGTACCCGCCGTGCTGCTACAGTGTTCCTGCTACAGTATCCTTCTCGGCTGCTACAGTATGCCGCTACTATAGAATTTTTCCCCTTTTTCTTTTTCTTTTCATCTTGATTCTTGTAACGTTGATCTTCAATCTTGCATGACACCATCTTCTATCTTGTGAATTCGCTCCCGGATCCATCACCATCATCATGGCTCTGGTACCACTTATTGGGGAATTTCACTCTTCCCACCTACTACAATATGCGTAACTCCGAAGCCAACACACAATCAACAAGATATAAAACGACCACGAACAGTACTCGTCGTGCTGTTGCTACAGTTCCGTTGCCACCAATATCGTTGCAAATCTCGAATCTCCACGAACCGTCGAACCCCGCTCTGATACCACTTGTAGGGAGTTTTAGATCTCGCAAAACCCCCAAAAAACCACCAAACGCAGCAAATAAAATCACACAAGATTTAACGTGAAAAACCCTCAACAAGGAAAAACCACTGGATAAAAATCAATCCACTACCACCTTCTAATTATAATCTTTTGCACGGACAAAGACTGTCAAACCCTCTCTCACTCTTTTTCTCTACACTTCTTCTTCTCCTTCTTCTTTTTCCTCTAACAATAGAGGGATATATATAGAGAAACCAAAACTCTATCTCTAGCCTAACTTCCTAATTAGAATAAGATTCAAACTCCCAATCATGATGGAACCCAAACTCCTAATCATGATAGATCTCTAACCTTATCTAATTCTTATGAAGTTATAAAAAGAATTAAAAACTCTATCCCAACTTGGAGTTTGAGTACATACCCAACAATTTCTTAGTTGTATTGCGCTAAAATAGTTGGGAAGTTTATGCTTGCCTCTTTCAGGTTGTACTCTTGTTCTCCCTCAGTAAATTGAGTCATAATTTGGATAGAATCTGAAACCTGAATATGATTCTGATAATATCTGGTTTTTTTTTTTTTGCTAAAGCCTAGTATTACCTAATGCCTGTAAGTACTGTCAACATTGTTCTTAACATTCCCTCCCTTTTGTTGAAAACTCTATATATTACAGAGGAAAACATATCTAAGATGCGTTTACTGGAGAATTCAGTTATTCTTTTGGGATGTGCGAATTGGTCATCTGTTGTTGAATAGGATCCTTTTCATGTACTTTTGAGATTCTTATTGGATAAATATTTCATAGGTGCTAATTATAGTGTTTCCTTGGGTTATAGTCCTGTTTGTTTATTAGTTGGAAATATAAATGCATGCATTGTAATAAATTATCTTTCATATGAAATCTTTTCACCTGACCCTCAGTTTCTATTGAATATCCAAGATATCGGGTTTGTATTTTTCTCCTTTAGTTTTGATCGGACAAAATCCAGACTTTTGGTTTGTCAATTAGAGTATCCTGCACTTGTAAATATGTCTTGGCGTAAATAAGTTTGCATACTGACTATGAGTTGATATTGTTCTACTAAATTACAATTGAAAAGAAAATAATGGGTGTGAGGTGGCCGCTCACTTTGCTAAGACCAATGCTAGCCACAGCCGTAAGTGGGGTTCACTTGC